CGAGCTCTCACTAACGGTATGGTAATCTTCTATTTTTTGCATCATTCCAAACCACATCGAATCCGAAAGATATCAACACATCACTCAGTGTTGGAACTGCTACTTTACTGAATCACCAAGGACGTCCTATCATGAAAATCGCTCTACCTTGGCGTAAAGGAAGGCTTTAATTCATTACACAAGGGACCTTTAACCTTCCTATATGTCTCAGTAGAAATATACTCTCAGCTTTACAGAATTTAGGAATTTTTTGGCTAAGTGTCTCAGGGTAACCGTGACCGTGTGGACTTCTGGACTCTCCTGACACCAGCTGTTCAAGTCCTGTGCCGGGTATGCGTTCTTAATGAACCATTTCTTGCATAGCTCAGGAGTGCTGGTTTGCTCTAGCCAAAATTCGATCATGCTTAGGCTGTGATGGACTTACAAAGTTCTATGTCTTCGGCAGTGCCTGGAGTGGCTCTACAAATCCTGATCATCTTCAGTGGTGCCTGGCTGCTTAGCTAAATTCCTGGATACTTCAGGATTTCATTGTGGCTCTAGCAATTCCTGTAGCTATCCTGGGTGCGGTCTCTAGAAATCCTGTATAGCTTCAGGATGCTGGTTGCTGGTTCTAGAAAATTCATGGCATAGCTCGAGGGTGCACTGGTTCTGGCTACTAGCAAATTCTGCATGCTTCATGCCTGGTTCATGGCTCTACAAATTCCTGAAAGCTTCAAGGTGCCTAGGTTGCTGCTACTCAAATTCCTGGATACTCAGGGGTGCCTGGTTGCGGCTAAAATTCCTGTCATACTTCGGGGTGCTGTTGCTGGCTCTAGCAATTTGGCATGCTACAGGAACCTGATTGCTGGCTCTGCAAATTCTGATACTTCAGATGTCTTGGCTCTCACTCACAAATTCCAGCATACTTCGGGGTGTGTTGCTGGCTCTAAAATTCCTGATAGCTTCAGGGTGCCTGTTGCTGTCTAGAAATTCCTAGCTGCTTCAGCGAAGCTGATCTGCTCAGCAAATTCCTACAATAGCTTCAGGGGTGCCTGGTTGCTGGCTCTAGCAAATTCCTAGCATAGCTTCAGGGTGCCTGGTTGCTGGCTCTAGCAAATTCCTGGCATAGCTTCTGGTGCTGTTAGGTCAGCCGCTAGCTTCAGGGTGCCTGGTTGCTGGCTCTAGCAAATTCCTGCATAGCTTCAGGGGTGCCTGGTTGCTGGCTCTAGCAAATTCCTGCATAGCTTCAGGGGTGCCTGGTTGCTGGCTCTAGCAAATTCCTGAGATAGCTTCAGGGGTGCCTGGTTGCTGGCTCTAGCAAATTCCTGGCATAGCTTCAGGGTGCCTGGTTGCTGGCTCTAGCAAATTCCTGTATAGCTTCAGGGGGCCTGGTTGCTGGCTCTAGCAAATTCCTGGCATAGCTTCAGGGGTACTGGTTGCTGCTACTTCTGGTAGTAGGGCTGGTTTCTAGCAAATTCCTGGCATAGCTTCAGGGGTGCCTGGTTGCTGGCTCTAGCAAATTCCTGGCATAGCTTCAGGGGTGCCTGGTTGCTGGCTCTAGCAAATTCCTGATATAGCTTAATGGGTGCCTGGTTGCTTGCTCTAGCAAATTCCTGGCATAGCTTCAGGGGTGCCTGGTTGCTGGCTCTAGTAAATTCCTGGTATAGCTTCAGGGGTGCCTGGTTGCTGGCTCTAGCAAATTCCTGGCATGCTTCAGGGGCCTGGTTGCTGGCTCTAGCAAATTCCTGCATAGCTTCAGGGGTGCCTGGTTGCTGGCTCTAGCAAATTCCTGGCATAGCTTCAGGGGTGCCTGGTTGCTGGCTCTAGCAAATTCCTGGCATAGCTTCAGGGGTGCCTGGTTGCTGGCTCTAGCAAATTCCTGACATAGCTTCAGGGGTGCCTGGTTGCTGGCTCTAGCAAATTCCTGGCATAGCTTCAGGGGTGCCTGGTTGCTGGCTCTAGCAAATTCCTAGCATAGCTTCAGGGGTGCCTGGTTGCTGGCTCTAGCAAATTCCTAGCATAGCTTCAGGGGTACCTGGTTGCTGGCTCTAGCAAATTCCTAGCATAGCTTCAGGGGTGCCTGGTTGCTGGCTCTAGCAAATTCCTAGCATAGCTTCAGGGGTACCTGGTTGCTGGCTCTAGCAAATTCCTAGCATAGCTTCAGTGGGTGCCTGGTTGCTGGGCTCTAGCAAATTCCTAGCATAGCTTCAGGGGTCCTGGTTGCTGGCTCTAGCAAATTCCTGCATAGCTTCAGGGGTACCTGGTTGCTGGCTCTAGCAAATTCCTAGCATAGCTTCATGGGTAGCCTGGTTGCTGGCTCTAGCAAATTCCTAGCATAGCTTCAGGGAGCCTGGTTGCTGGCTCTAGCAAATTCCTAGCATAGCTTCAGGGTGCCTGGTTGCTGGCTCTAGCAAATTCCTAGCATAGCTTCATGGGATGCCTGGTTGCTGGCTCTAGCAAATTCCTAGCATAGCTTCAGGGAGCCTGGTTGCTGGCTCTAGCAAATTCCTGCATAGCTTCAGGGGAGCCTGGTTGCTGGCTCTAGCAAATTCCTGGCATAGCTTCAGGGTGCCTGGTTGCTGGCTCTAGCAAATTCCTAGCATAGCTTCATGGGAGCCTGGTTGCTGGCTCTAGCAAATTCCTAGCATAGCTTCATGGGAGCCTGGTTGCTGGCTCTAGCAAATTCCTGCATAGCTTCAGGGGAGCCTGGTTGCTGGCTCTAGCAAATTCCTGGGCATAGCTTCATGGGGAGCCTGGTTGCTGGCTCTAGCAAATTCCTAGCATAGCTTCAGGGTGCCTGGTTGCTGGCTCTAGCAAATTCCTGCATAGCTTCAGGGTGCCTGGTTGCTGGCTCTAGCAAATTCCTAGCATAGCTTCATGGGAGCCTGGTTGCTGGCTCTAGCAAATTCCTAGCATAGCTTCAGGGGTACCTGGTTGCTGGCTCTAGCAAATTCCTGCATAGCTTCAGGGGTGCCTGGTTGCTGGCTCTAGCAAATTCCTAGCATAGCTTCAGGGGTACCTGGTTGCTGGCTCTAGCAAATTCCTAGCATAGCTTCATGGGAGCCTGGTTGCTGGCTCTAGCAAATTCCTAGCATAGCTTCATGGGAGCCTGGTTGCTGGCTCTAGCAAATTCCTGGCATAGCTTCAGGGGTGCCTGGTTGCTGGCTCTAGCAAATTCCTAGCATAGCTTCAGGGATGCCTGGTTGCTGGCTCTAGCAAATTCCTGGCATAGCTTCAGGGGAGCCTGGTTGCTGGCTCTAGCAAATTCCTAGCATAGCTTCATGGGAGCCTGGTTGCTGGCTCTAGCAAATTCCTAGCATAGCTTCATGGGAGCCTGGTTGCTGGCTCTAGCAAATTCCTAGCATAGCTTCATGGGAGCCTGGTTGCTGGCTCTAGCAAATTCCTAGCATAGCTTCATGGGAGCCTGGTTGCTGGCTCTAGCAAATTCCTGGCATAGCTTCAGGGAGCCTGGTTGCTGGCTCTAGCAAATTCCTGGCATAGCTTCAGGGGTACCTGGTTGCTGGCTCTAGCAAATTCCTAGCATAGCTTCATGGGAGCCTGGTTGCTGGCTCTAGCAAATTCCTAGCATAGCTTCATGGGAGCCTGGTTGCTGGCTCTAGCAAATTCCTAGCATAGCTTCATGGGAGCCTGGTTGCTGGCTCTAGCAAATTCCTAGCATAGCTTCATGGGAGCCTGGTTGCTGGCTCTAGCAAATTCCTAGCATAGCTTCATGGGAGCCTGGTTGCTGGCTCTAGCAAATTCCTAGCATAGCTTCATGGGAGCCTGGTTGCTGGCTCTAGCAAATTCCTAGCATAGCTTCATGGGAGCCTGGTTGCTGGCTCTAGCAAATTCCTAGCATAGCTTCATGGGAGCCTGGTTGCTGCTAAACCCAATAACAGTATAAACTGTTTAGTCATACATCTCACAAAAAATACTATAAAATGAAAGATCTTAAAAAAAATAAGCGATGGACACGATTAACAAAGAACTAGTACACATCAGTTAAAAACTTTAGGGTTAACATATCAAAAATAAGTCATTTATAAAAATTAAAAACAATTATATTATCCGAAAAAATGAGTGTTTAATAAATAAAGTGAACACAATAAAACTTAGCATAATTATCAGATAGAAAATAACAGAGGTATTCAAGCATAAATTTCAAGTATAAATATCCTTCAAATACATGAACAACAAAAACATGTAACAGAAGTTATAATGAATGATACAAGAAACAGGAAAATTAAACACAGTTGTATAACTAATACAGCAAAAATATTTATAAAGTTAGGTTAAGTTACAGGTAGATGGCAAATTACAACAAATCAATAGTTAAGTATGAGTAACAGATACTAAATTAAATAGTATTAATATGGAAGATAGATTAGAGAAGTTATAGGTCAGGAGCAGAGAGAATATTAAGGTAGATCACAGGTTGAAAACAATGTTACCAGATAAACAGTCTTACTCCACATCTGATAAGTTAGAGCACAAATCTAGTAAAGTACTGAAACGTTAACAGGGCGAGACATACGGGCGAGTCTCCTTACACCCACTGTCCCTGTTAACCTTCGGTAAAAAGGTACCTGGGAGTTAGTCGATCGTTGTGAGTCGCATCCTGGGGAATGATCAAGCACTACAAACTACTGAGCAATTTGAATGTCTCTCAAATTACCTAATGATGCACTTTCTGTGCCCAAAGTACACGATACAAGAAAATTAATTATGTTAAAATATGCCAGTATAAAGACAAGAGTGGCATATGGTAGCCAAATGGCATACATATACAATCATTTTATACCTTAAATTATCACTAAACTTACTCTAAACTTAAATATACAAGTATTATTTATGCTATAATAATACAAGGTACATACATTAAAGAGGTCTTCCCCAGGGTAGCATAACAGTGCTGGCTGGGCGCTGTTTCCCACAGTGGTTATCTCATAAAAAAAATCTACATTTATTATAATATTTAGTGTTTTCCACTTAGGCTACATTAAGACAGATTATAAACTCACTTGTTAACAGCAGATATGGAGAGTTAAAGTAAAGTGCTCAATCAAGTCTTGTTCACAGTCTTGTCTTCCCTGGTGTTTCCTCCAAGATGTCTGAACACAACTCTTAACCTGTACACAAGTTCTTTATAAACACTACCTCAACTCTTCTTTATACACCTTACTAATACTCACAAAAATTATTACAATGAATACTATTACTTAGAAAAATAATCTGACTGATTAAAGTAAATTTATAATATATATTTTTGGTAAACAAATATTCCAGTGAAATCATATTGGAACAACTGACAACAGAACATCACTAAGCCAAAATGATCGCACTTATATAACATTTCTTTAGTTAATTTCCAACTTTTGCAGTAACAGTGAATTTTGCAAGTAATAATAATATCAATGATAATAATGATAATAATAATAATAATAATAATAATAATAATAATAATAATAATAATAATAATAATAATAATAATAATAAGAAGAAGAAGAAGAAGAAGAAGAAGAAGAACATAAGAACATAAGAAAGAAGGAACACTGCAACAGGCCTACTGACCCATGCGGGGCAAGTGTTACACTCCATGGGTTGTAACCACTCAGAAAGTTTCCTTCTGGTTAGAGCATAACAATGGTCAGAGAGGCTAGGGTAATAATAGTAATCCTCTGGAAATCTTATTTTAATGAAGTACATTTATAATACAGCATAATACTATAAGAATGGTATACAATACCGACAAGATGAAATTAAGACACATTTACAACATCTGTGTATCTTTAATTGTAGACGTTTCGCCATCCAGTGGCTTTATGAATACAAATTCCAGGACATAACTTGAAGACAGTAGAACTATATACAGAAAATGAGGTAATCAGTCCCTAAACCTTGGAGTTGATGCGAAGAGCACCGTTGAGGGACTGATTACCTCATTTTCTGTATATAGTTCTACTGTCTTCAAGTTATGTCCTGGAATTTGTATTGGTTAAGCCACTGGATGGCGAAACGTCTACAGTAAAGATACCCAGATGTTGTAAATGTGTCTTAATTTCATCTTGTCGGTATTGTATACCATTCTTGTACAACTTGTCAGACACTGCAACATCATGGAATCTTGATTCTGAGGACATGTACATAACCTTCACGACTACGGCAACTACTACTACAACTAACCCATCTCTTTGGGTAGGACCTACTTCCACTGGGGAATCCAGCCTACCAGTGACTATGCCCTCGTCTGCTGCACGTCCCATTTCCACCTGACGTTAGTATAAAAGCATCAGGCTCCTTGCTTCTGCTTCAGAATCTCCACGACTACGGTGCTCTTCGCACCAACTTCAAGGCTGAGGGACTGATTACCTCATTTTCTGTATATAGTTCTGCTGTCTTCAAGTTATGTCCTGGAATTTGTATTGATAAAGCCACTGGATGGGGAAACGTCTACAATAAAGATATCCAGATGTTGCACATGTGTCTTAATTTCATCAATAATACATTACAAATTATGCTTGTTTGTTCTATATTATCCGAAATATGTATATAAGGCTTTTATAACACATGATTAGGATGAGATCCTAGACATAACGTATATATACATAGATTATTTTAGTGAATAAGGTCTTATTTCCCATTAGGACAGTCAGAATAAAACAGAATAAGTCAAGGCCGGATAATCAACCTTGGCCAGTTACCAGAGACGAGCAGGAGTGTTGTCGTTGGCTGCTACTTCTTCACTGCTCGTCCCTCAACCTTGGGCATACAGATCAGGTGGGTCACGTGACGTGACTCACCTACACTCAGTAGAGTAGTTGAACAAAAGGGGGGGAAATGGGGGTATAACCATCGAACACCACAGCTAACCATACAGCGGTACACACAGCGGCAGGCATGTTGCTATATCTTCAATTTAACTTATCATGGCCATGTTACATAAATAATAATAATAATTGTTAATAAGAATAAGCCTTTATGATACAAGGACGTTCATTTCCAATTTAGCTATTAAAGGAAATGACCACAATGTAATATTAAAGAAAGATTAACAATAGGTGCATGACACCCCGGCCCAAAACAAATATCTCTGCTTTAAGATGCTGATGGTGTAGAAGGAACCATCCACCTGGTGTAAGAGATGACTCAAGGGGATGGAGAACTATCTCTCTCCGAGCTTAGTCATCCACTACCTAGAACTGGACCAGAAACACTGCTAGACTGTAAAGAATTTCCGTAGTTAGGCATTATATTAGGACCCAGAGAGACCATCAGCTAAAACGTTACTCGAACTCTTAATGTGAAATATGGAGATCCGGTAAGGTTGGACCCTTAAAGCACAGCGTAATATTCTAACATTTTTTTAATTTCATAGAATTTATGAAAGTTAGTGGATTATGGTCTAAGTAAATACTTATCACATGAGGAGTATAACCGAGGTATACGTCAAAGTGTTCAAAGGACAAGACTAAAGCCAGGGCTTCTTTTTCTGTGGTTGAATAAGATCTTTGATATTCTTTTAATTTATAGGAAAAATAACATACTGGATGCAGAATATACTGTTTTGGAAAGATTGCAATAAGACACCACCTATTGCGGCATCACTGGCGTCAACATGGAGGGCGAAAGGAACTTGGAAATTGGGTGCTCGCAATACTGGGGCAGAGGAAAGGAAACGTTTTAAACGTTTAAAAGCTTGCTCACAATTCTCGTCCCAGTTAAATTTGTTGGAAGTGTTCCCTGTCCTGAGGCGTTGGAAAATTTAAAATAGCTTGGACCTTTAATTGGTCTGGGGCTACTAGTCCCTTGCCTATTTTAAAACCGAGATATTTAATCTTATCTTTATCAAAGTCCATTTTTGTAAATTTGCAGTGAAATTGCATTTCTGCAATGCTTTCAGTAGTTGTTCCAATCTTTGTAAATGTGACTGCCAATCATCACTGAAAACCGCCAGGTCGTCCAAGTATGCCTCTACACCTTCTAAGGGTTGGACTAAAATGTTCGTAATTCTCTGGAAAGTGGAGGCGGCATTACATAAGCCGAAAGGCATAACCTTATACGTAAATTGTCCGTTCTTAACTACGAACCCGGAAATCTCTTATGCCCTAGGAGTTAACAGTACCTGGTAATATCCTTTCAATAAGTCTAATCTGGTCACAAAGTTGGCACTGGCCACAGCATCTATTAAATCATCAATCCCGGGTACTGGAAGTCCATCTGGCTTGGTGACTGAATTTACTTTACGATAATCCGTGCATAGGCGTACGGTACAATCGGGCTTTGGGACCAATAAACATGGAGAGGCCCAAGGTGTCCAACTGGGTTCTATCAAATGATATTCCAGTAAGGTATTTATCTCTTACTGAATTAATTCTTGCTTAGCAGGGGAGACCCGGTAAGGGGATTGCTTTATTGGACTATCTTCTAACAATTCAATATCGTGAAAACTCAAGGGACAAGGAGTAGGGATATCTTGGAAGATGGAGTTATATTTAGTGATTAACTCATTTATTTGAGATTTTTGGAGGGTAGGAAGAACTTCCAGGAAAAGGTCTAGTTGTTTCAAAACTTCTGAATTATGTAGTCGAAATTCTCTTACTTCTCTTACAATATCATTCCTAATTTCTGTGGATGTAGATTGAATAGAGGTAATATTAGTATGGAGAAGGTTAGACTCACACTTCTTTTAGTTATCTATGTGATACCTCTTAATTTTTTTGCAACATCCTGGTTCACAGACCAGATAATTCACCTCATTTTCTTTGTCTACTATCTCATAAGGCCCCTCATATCGAGGTTTTAACAAATGTCCTGGAATTAAGTTTTTAACTAACACTAATTCATTGGTAGTAAACGAACGTGATTTAGCTTTTTGGTCATACGATTTCTTCATTTTGGCTTGAGCTTCGGTCAGGTTCACGGCAACTAAGCTTTTCAATTTGGAGAGATGCTCTTTCCAAAGCAGAGGACTGGGATGAAGAGGTCCTCTCTTCCCTATCCAAGAATCTCTTAATATGCCTAGGGGTCCTCGTACCTGGTGTCCGAAAATCAAGTCGAATGGAGAGTATTTAGTACTTTCCTGTTCAGCTTCGCGGAGGGCGAAAAGAAGAAAGGGTAAACCTTCATCCCATAAATATATATAAGGCTTTTATAACACATGATTAGGATGAGATCCTAGACATAACATATATATATATATAGAGATTACTTTAGTGAATAAGGTTTTATTTCCCTTTACGAAGCAGTCAGAATACAACAGAATAAGTCCAGGCCGGATAATTAACCTTGGCCAGTTACCAGAGACGAGCAGGAGTGTTCTCGTTGGTAGCTACTTCTTCACTGCTCGTCCCTCAACCTTGAGCATACAGGTCAGGTGGGTCACGTGACGTGACTCACCAACACTCAGTAGAGTAGTTCAACAAAAGGGGGCGAAAGGGGGGTTTAACCATCGAACACCACAGCTAACCATACAGCGGTACACACAGCGGCAGGCATGTTGCTATACCTTTAATTTAACTTATTATGGCCATGTTACATACATAATAATAATAATTGTTAATAAGAAGAAGCCTTAATAATAAAAGGACGTTCATTTCCAATTTAGCTATTAAAGGAAATGACCACAATGTAATATTAAAGAAAGATTAACAATAGGGGCATGACAGAGGTCCATGTCCCACTCCCCGGATTAGCACAATGACCCACCCAGGCTGGCCACCTCCACTCAAGGAAGGAGCACGGCACCAGACCCAGCAGCACAAACTAGTCAGGTCCAACTCACTCCCACCATACCCACTCATGTATTTATCTAACCTATTTTTAAAACTACACAACGTTTTAGCCTCAATAACTGTCCTTGGGAGTATGTTCAACTCATCCACAACTCTTTTACCAAACCAGTGCTTTCCTATATCCGTCCTGAATCTGAATTTTTCCAACTTGAAACCATTGGTGTGAGTCCTGTCTTGGCTGGAAATTTTCATCACACTATTTACATCCCCATTATTTATTGCTGTTTTCCATTTATACACCTCGATCATATCCCACTATTTCTACGCCTCTCGAGAGAGTGCAGATTCAGGGCCCTCAGTCTATCCTCATAGGGAAGATTTCTGATACATGGGATCATCTTTATCATCCTCCTCTGTACGTTTTCCAGAGATTTTATATCCATTCTGTAATACGGTGACCAGAACTGTGCAGCATAGCCTAAATGAGGCCTAACCAAGGATATATAGAGTTGAAGAACAACCTTAGGACTTTTAATATTTATGCTTCTAGATATGAAGCCAAGAATTCTGTTAGCTTTATTGTGAGCACTAATGCACTGTTGTCTTGGTTTTAGATTACTGCTAACCAGAACTCCTAAATCCTTTTCGCAATCAGTAGTATTAAGATCTACATTATTTAGTTTATATGTGGCATGGTTATTTACCTGTTCAACATTTAGAACTTTGCATTTGTAAATATTAAACTGCATCTGCCACTTCTCTGACCACTGCATCAGTCTATTCAAATCATCCTGGAGTGCTCTAGTGTCCTCATTAGAATGTATTGGTCTGCCTACTTTGGTGTAATCAGCAAATTTGCTAATGTCGCTACTTATTCCCTCATCAATGCCGTTAATGTAAATAGTTTCTTAAATAATTAAACATTGATAATTGTTGTGCATTATATTACAATGAAAGCAATGATGATATATGACATTACACAGTTTATATTTAAATTATATTACAATCATTTTCCTGAGTTAGAGAACTATGCACACAGTAAATAGGGAATAACATAGGTAAGAAATACACATTAAGGACAGTCATGAAATTCTCACAAGTAATATTTATCACACTTTAACTTGAGTCGAGGGACTGATTTGTTTAATTATATTACATCTAAGAACAAGACTGCCTAATAGTAAACCACTCCCCTCCATCATCCCTCTCACCCTGAATGCTATCACCCCCTTCCCTCCATCATCCCTCTTGCCCTAAATGCTGTCACCTCCTCCATTCCCTGTTTGGTGTACTAGCCTCACGAGCAGCATTTATATATTATTGTAACCAGGAACGATTGATATTGATCATTAACAATACTATGCTAGCAAAGGATTGGAACCCATGTTGTACTGGCTTGCTTGCCTTATGGTAAGTGAGAACAACATAAATATATATATATAAATATATATACATATATATATATATATATATAATATATATATATATATATATATATAAATAATATATATATAATATATATATATATATATATATATATATTTATATATATATATATATATATATATATATATATATATATATATATATATATATATATATATATATATATATATATATATATGTAATATATATATATATATATATATATATATATATATATATATATATATATATATATATATATATATATATACATATATAATATATATATGTATGTAGAAGGTTGGTAGACAGCAACCACGCAGGGAAGTACTACCATCCTGCCAGATGACTGTGAAACAAAAACCTGTAACTGTTTTGCATGATGGTAGGATTGCTGGTTTCTTTTTCTGTCTCATAAACACGCTAGATAACAGGGATATCTTGTTACTCCTACTTACACTTTGGTCACACTTCACAGACACGGACATGCATATATATATACATACATCTAGGTTTTTCTCCTTTTTCTAAATAGCTCTTGTTCTTCTTTATTTCTTCTATTGTCCATGGGGAAGT